GAATTCACGTAGATAGTCTTGGCGGGCATGATTGACTTCATGACCAAACCAGCCCTGGGTGTAGAACTGAAGTGGTGGCCGCACCAAATTTACTTGTCTTTGTTGGAGTGTGCGTTTATGCGATTGTGAATGCGAAAACGGGTAGGAAAATGGGATAAACCGAAGCTAGCTGGGTCATTTCTAAATGTTTTTACAGCCACCACCGTGATATACCAATCTTACGTCTGCATGAACACACTTGTTTGCATGACTAAATTTGGTAGGCGTAGTCGAAGCCAATGGAGATGAGGCTGAAGAGGAAGTTGGCGAAGGGTTGAAGGGTTGAAGGGGTCGAGAAGGGGTTATTTCATTGCGCACATCAACTGGCCGAAGGACCCCCCTAGGACGGCAGAATCTGAAGCCTCGAAGTAGGTGAGTCGAAAGGGAACCCAGGCGCCCCGGCCCGCTCAGTCGTCGCCAAAGTGTCCCCTCGGCCCGGCTGGCCGATGTCTTCGGCCCATCGACTCCGACCATCTGAGACTGCCTATCAGGCTAAGGTGGTCGGGACAATACGCCGGATGGCGTAAAGCGAATTGATATTTCACCACCCCGGTCGTCGTCACAGGCATTAATTTAACAAAATCAAATCAAATTGTGCCCCAAACCCCATTTTCATAGATGAGGTTCAGTGGAGGCTTGGGAACCATTTGGTTGCCATAATTTTACAAACGACCAGTTTCTGGCCCTGCTCGTCAAGGCCTTTTTATTAGTAAAATCTGGCAGGAATGGATAGGTAAAGTACCCAAAATAAAATTAATGCTGGCATACCTTTCATTACGTTTGAAAAAGCGGATGGAGAGGATTCGTAGGTTGGCCTCACCGGATACCGAAGAAGGGTTGCCTTGGGGCTTTGTCCATTGAATTGTGCGAAGAAGACCGCCATACGGCCCCGACGACTTCGTGCTGAGCTTTCGTCTGTCATGTGACGGACATCGTCATAGCCATAAACCATTATTCATGAAAAATTACCAAAAAATCCAAACTGATAAAGGTGGTCAACTGAGATCCTACTTACTTTTATACCTCACTTTGTGATCTTAATTAGGCATTCCATGATTTGGTTGGTTGTTTTATGCTTGTTCTACGTGTATGTAAGCAGGAACGGGAACGGATGTGGTCACAACTTTTGTCTGTGTAAATAAACTAGTGTATGATCCAGTAGTCCTTGGTCTTGTTACAGTTTTCTGGATGCGTGTTCGTGTGTGCATGCAACAACCACTGATCTATTAAAGATATTTCAAAACCAAGCTTCTCTTCAGACCCCGAAATTGAATGCTGATAAAGCTTGACTTAGCCGTTGACTTCCATAGTTTAATTCATACCGAAGGAGTGTCCTTGTCCAAAGTGGATAGCAGTTTTGGCCATGCATAGACCTCACCAGAGTCCCAGCAGTAGTCAAATGCAGGACATTAGGCTAAATTACATTTATGCAAAGAAAAGTTGGGTTTCGATTAATATTTTGGTTTATAATTGTTAA